CAGGAACTATATCTGAAGATTGTGCTGTAACTAAGTAAAGATAAGCTTAAGTAGGGAATGATTTCCTAAGAATGAAGTTTGAGAAAAAAAAACAGGTATATTATATATTTTTGTGTCCCCCATTTTCACAAAAGCAAGAGAAATATTGTTCATCTGTCAATGTGTCTGTTTAACTGTAAAACACCATCTTCATGGGGTTTGAAAAGGATTTTTCAGTGGTATTTTTTTTATCTACCGGTACATTTATGACCAAATTTCATTAGGATTTTAAATTTGAATTTTATTCAGTTGGCTTTTATGTTTTTAAAAGTTTGTACATTTATATTAAACTATAAACATCTTGTTGTCCTAAATTTTGTGGAATTTTCTTTAAATTTTATTGAAAATGCCAACTATATTAAAACTTGCTTTTAACAATGTGCCAGGGATGGGCAATTTTGCTCACTATGTCTGTTAAATCTCCACATATTTTAAAGCCAAGGGGAATGAAAAGCACTATGCTATATAGTAAGCCTCGGTTCGTTTTAAGCATGTTTTTATATTAAATATGTTTTACTGTAGAGAACAAGAATTTTGACATGAAAAAAATAATCAAACATTTGCATGTTGAATATAAAAAAAAAAAGCTTAATAATATTAGAAATGCAATAAAACACACGATGACCAGCTGCATAGTATGCTCTAAAATTAATATATTTTCTTTGAACATTAAACCAGAATGAATAGTTCTTGTCTGTCTAGCAAATGTTTATAGGAGTGATCCAATATCTTATATTCCAGATTACTCGATTTCTATTAAGGATTTTCATTTTTCATTAGCATTTGTAGAAAATACTAAAAGAGCACCTGTCAGAAATGGAGCTCATATGGAGAAATGTATAGACAAATAATGGATTGGTAAACTATAACTTTGTAATCATGATTATTTCCTTTCATGTCAGAGTTCCTTTGATGTTTGAACAAACTGCATGTTTTGTCCATAAGTTAATATCCTGAAGAAGGAAAATTTATTCACTGACTTTGCCCTGGTCTGCCTTAGCGTTCTCCTTTATACTACCTTTCTTCTGAAACTTGATCGTCAAAGCTGTCATTTGAAGCTGATTGTCCATCCTTTTTTTCAGACTAAGGAGCTACAAGTCTGCAGCTAATATTTAGCAAAATAAAAAAAAGACTATAGAACTATAAAATGATGTTGGCAATGGATATGATTTTAAGTTTTACTGGTTAGGTGTCTGATGTCCATCTGTCTTTGTAGATGTCTTGCTGACCATCTGTATATCACATATATATATATATGTTTTTTTTTCCAAAATGCTCCTCTTCATACAGTTTTGTTCTGATTTCAATATAACTTGGCACACAAGTACACTACAATAAGATACACATAATTCAGTGTATCTGTTTTTGATTTTGATTTTGAAGAATGATGTTGCCATGGTTACTAAAAATAGAAATTTACCTTGAAATTTCTTTAAAAGGCTACAAGTACTCTTCCTACAGTTTTGAACTGATATTTTATTTAACTAAATGACACACAAGTAAACTACACACCTAAGAAACATAATTCTGTGCTTGTTAGTTGTATGTTTATGTATACTTTTTCAAACACATGAAAAAAAAAATGCAGTCAGCTCAACATGTGTTACAATTATGCAAATTTACCTAAAATCAGGTAAAATAAAAAAAAATTATTTATTATTCTTGGGAATGATTAGGGCCAGGGACTCATTATAAGATCAAAGTTAATTTATGTCCTAAAGAAAACTAATATTAACGATTCCTGTTGTAAGCACTATAATCAGATGTTGTCATCATTAGTTGTGTTAGACGATTAGAACTCATTTCCTTTTATGCTCTAACAGAATCACCCCATAATGATACAATAACACCTATAGCAATCTGAATAGCTTCAAATGACTTCGGTGACACAACAGTCTTGATTTCCCATTAAAGATATTCAGTGCTGTCTCCGAGGGCCCGTTAGGATATTGACTTCTTTAGACGTTTCTTTTTCAGTTCTTTTGCTTATGAATTGAAGATTATACAAGTATATATATCCTTGCATTCTGTTGGCTTAAATCATAGTATGTGTTTTTCAAATGATAATTTTTAAAGCAGCCTTTTCCAATAGTTTTTGGAAGAATTTTGCACTAAATTTTAACAACAATTTAATGGAAAAAAAAGTGAATGTAATTGAACCATTAATGTACATGTAATTCTTTTGGGAGAAAAAAAATATTTGATGTATTATTTCTATAATTACTTTATTGAAAAAATTTTTATGAAGTGTTTCATTTTTATAAAACTTGGATTATATATTTTCTGAGATACTCATGCAATCCTAACCAATGTTGCTGATTAACAAACCAGACAAAATGTTTTCTGGAATTTACCAGATCAAATCAAGTATGCTTGTAATCCTAAGTTTTCTTGAAAAAAAAAGCAATTTTAATCTTTAAAGGCCTCTGATCATTCTGAGAAGACCAAAGTGGAACGTCTTTAATACAAGTTTTACTGTGAAATCAAAAATTTTTATGGGGGGGGGGTTAATTTTCATTGTTTTTAAGGTATGATTGATGAGACCCAGGAATTAATGTCCCCCACGAAATGTTAAATGCTACGTACATAGTAGCTGCAGATCTGTAGCGTTATTGTTTTATATATTATACAATTATGGACTTCAGTGTAGGTCGATATGTGGTTATAAGGACTCATGGCAATTGATATTGACCGAAGACACAGAAAGTGATAGCGACCGAGCCTGTGAGGTCGCTATCATTTTCTGTGTCTGACTGTCTGAGGTCAATATCAATATTGCCATGAGTCCTTATAACCACATATTGACCGTTCACTGAAGTCCATAATAGTTATATTATATAATCACTCAAATGGAATGTACTGACATAGTCCTAACTGAACAGACTTGGCTGTCATTACGTCACAATGGTTAAATTCACGATTCTTATATTATGACGTTACGTACTACGTAACTTTGGTGCAACCGAACGGCGTGTCGTGCAATATTATTTTCCACAGACGCGCTTTCGTGTCAATATCACAAAAGGAGGAATATCACGTGACGTACCTTCAGCCAATGAAAACTAAGAAAATAATCTTATATAATATTTGTCTTTGACCATAACGCTACAGATCCCGTAATGCAAAAAAGGTGCAATATACGGCGCAATATTTTTTGCGCACTTTTGGGGAGAATTTCTCCACTTTCCAGCATCGGTCAATTAACTACCTTTCACTCCCTAATTCTAGGCACATTATTTAACTAATCTGTATATATCATCCATCTCCAAACCCTATATATTCGTCTCTACAAGTGATAAACTCGCTTAATTAAAATTCACTTCAAACAAGTTTATTGTCTGTAGAGACAACTATAAATGGTTGGGAGGTGGATAAAATATACCTATTGGCTACAGAATATGTCTAGCATTAGGGAGTGAAAGGTACTTGATTGACCAATGCTAAAAAGAGGAGAAATTCTCCCCAAAAGTGCACAAAAAATATTGTGCTGTAAATTGCACCTTTTTTGCATTACGGGATCTGTAGCATTATGGTCAAAGACAAATATATAAAACCATAATGATACAGATCTGCTGCTACATACATAGCTACTCAACAAATCCTCATCAACGAAATCAAATCCCCGCAAACCAAGAGTTTTTCCTCAAACCATGAAAAGACCCAACAAAAATACGTGATTTTACAGTAATTGACAATCTGCATTGACACCTGCATTTAACATAACATTGTCACATTCGTGATATTATATTGGAGTTATATCAGACAGGAATACAGCTATACACAAAGGTGAATATATAGCTGCAGAACTGTAGCTCTGTGGTTCAGAAAAAACAAATATTAGCTAATCATGCTAACCAAGGTTGATGACATTAATTAACCAATTAGTCTAGTTTTGAATAATTAAGTTGACATTTTTCTCTCAAAGTGATTTGGAGTATATTTGACACACTGTGGTCTATATATGACACCATTTTGTGATTAACCAATCAAACCAGTATTCCTGTTGACTTGTTCACAGCTATAGAATTTCTCCTCCATAAGAACAAGTTGCATCATCATTAAGGGCATTATCCTGGCCAGTAACCAGAGCAGGACTATTTGACAGAGGATTAATGATTATAAGGGAGAATTATAGGGTACGATAGATTGAATTGCAGGTCTGTCATATTCTAACTAACACATTTTCTCTTTTTCCCTGAGATTTAATACTCTCTATGAGGCTCCAATCTACAGAATTTATGTTGTTTTTTTTCTCTACTTAGATGCAGACATTGATTTCTTTATTCATTTTAAGATAGATGTATATCAGCTAGTTTCTCACAGAACTTCTGATGTTGTTACTATCGGAAGAGTTGTCAATTTGACATGAAATTCAACTTCCAAGGTGAATGGGAACAAGTCTTCTGTCAAAGAATTGTGTATGTGATAGCCAGCATCCACTTTCTGAGTATAAAATCCTCTGGAATATTCTTTACTCTAGAATCAGGTTTGCCCTTGCTCCAGTGTGTTTGTATAAGTGTCTGGGTCAAAGGCCAAGGTCAGAACAAGTCCTTGTGTGAAATCTGTTATAGAATGTATTTTTCCTCCCTTGGTCTAGTTTGGTTTACCTTACCACAAAGTCCTCTACAAATCCCCATTTTCACGTGTCCTTTGCATATATTTAATCTTGACTTTATGAGATGTTCACTATCTCAATCTCATTCAGTGAAATAAAATTTCTGTGTATTTAACTATTGTTGAAGTCATTTTTGCCAATCATGGACCTCAGAAAATTAAGGTGTTTCATGTTCATGCATTGGTACGTCAAGTTCTACTCCTAGCTGCTAGATTTTATAGTGTAGAAATTCCATTAGTATCAATGATTGACCTATGAAATATTCAAATAACTGAATGTTTCTTTTTTTCATTTACAAAATTACTTCCTTCTTTATGATTGCTAACAGTTGTATGACTGTTTGTAGGTGCTGGAAGCAATGATTGGATGGTTGTTGGGGTGTTGTCATGGCACCTGGATTAACAACAGAGCCCGGCCCCAACACCACAGACATCAGTAACATTGGTAAGTTAGTCTAAAATCAGATGTTACACTTTTTGGAGCAAATGGTTCATTCTTAGAAAGACATTTGTTTTTATGTCTCCCTTTGAAGAAAGGAGGGCATATTGCTTTGCCTGCTGTCTGTCGGTTCACCATCAGTTTCCATTCATTTTCTTTGCAGAGGTTGCACATATATTGAAATTAAATTTAGTATACAGATTTATCATTAGAATATCTAGGTCAAGTTCTGTTTTGGGTATGATTAGGCCATTTTTATGCCCCCCTTCGAAGAAGGGAGGGCATATTGCTTTGCTGCTGTCTGTCGGTCGGTATGTCGGTCTGTCGGTCCATTTAGTTTCCATTCATTTTCTTCACAACCGTTGCACATACTGAAATGAAATTTAGTATACAGATTAATCAGACAAATATCTAGGCCAAGTTCTATTTTGGATATGATCGCGCCATTTTTGACAGAGTTATGCCCCTTTGGACTTAGAAAAATTCCAATTATTTGCAGTTTCCGTTCATTTTCTTCAGAGAGGTTGCACATACTGAAATGAAATTTAGTATACAGATTAAGCAGATGAATATCTAGGCCAAATTCTGTTTTGGGTACGATTGCACCATTTTTGACAGAGTAATGCCCCTTTAGACTTGGAAACATTCTAATTTGGGGGGAGAAGGGCATAAGTGTTTTACAAACATCTCTTGTTGAGAGTTATGTCCCTTGGACTTAGAAAAATTCCAATTATTTTGAGAAGGGTGGCATAAGTGTTTTACAAACATCTCTTGTTGAGAGTTATGTCCCTTGGACTTAGAAAAATTCCAATTATTTTGAGAAGGGTGGCATAAGTGTTTTACAAACATTGCTTGTTCTATTTATATTTGACATTGGGAGAAGTAAAATATTCCAGTTTACATGGGTCAACTTGAACTCTGTCTGGACACACATAAGTCATTAGACATTCATAAAAAGATTCAGCTAAATTTTAATAAGATTGATGATGTTGCTTAGTCTCCATTTAATGTGTTAATTTAGTTTTTTTGTATTTGTTGTTTTTATGCTGCTTAACATCCCTCTCCAGAATTTTTCACTCATAAATTATGGAGATGCCACCATTTTCTGATGGGGAACTGCAAATTTTTCCTATACTTGGCACTCAGGGACATTGAGCATTGAGGAATCTTTTTCATGCCACAATCTATATTTGGAAACAGGACCTTGGTTTATACGGTCTCATCCGAAGAACCAGTCTCAATGTCCCACAGTGATTTGAACCCACGAAGTATGGATCTACTTCTTACTTTGTGACTCTAGAGTAAATGCTCTAACCACTGCACCATGTGGGCATTTTGTATTTGTCGAAATGTGTAAAGTAATATTATTCAAATTCGTCAATTATTTTTTTCTGATTCGTTCTCCTTAAGGCAATGCAGACTTTACTCTTTGATTAAATCTTGCCTTTTAATCAAGTAAACATCTGTTACAGCATCATTTTTTCCCTCTCTCTTAAATCAAAACTGAGATTTAAAAGGTAAAATCCAAGAATGCATCATTACACCTACTAGTAAGAGGAGAAAATTGATTTTAGCTTCCGTATCGTCCTTCAAACTATAAAAATCCTGAGTGTCTCTAAATTGATTTTTATGCACATGGCATCTGTATGTACATCAGACTTATTAGGATTCTGTAGAGTTCCATCCATATAATATGTAGAAGTTGTATAACAGCCAATAAAAAATGATTACTTTCACAACTCACATGTATGGAATCCGATATGACTCTACATAAAATAAATATAGTTCGTACCTGGTATGTATATTGCGTGTTGGATAAAGCTAAAGATTTAATCAGCTAGTACATGTATTGCTTGATTGTAAACTTCTAGTAGGAAATACCAGCTTTGACACAGCTCCCTATAGCATCAATACTTACAAGTGATATGTTCCTGAAAAATTTTCTCTTTGGATTTTCTTGTATAATAAAATGAATTCTAAAAGCAAACATGTTTGATATTCAAACTTAACCTTAATATTTAATCAATGATCTATATCAGACACTCCCCCTCCCCCCTAAAAAAATTGTCTGCCTAGTTAGGCATCTTGTGTATACCATGCTGCAAAGCAACTTTCATCAGAGTTGTTACATAAATGCATATTTTTTTAAGCCTAGCTGCTAGCAGTTTAAAAAAAAATTTCTAATTTAAAAGATCTTCTTGATGAAATGAAATCTCTTTGATTTAGCAACCAGGAATGTTCTCAAACAAAAAAATCCTTATAATTTACATTTTTGACAATAATATTTGTTGTGTTACTTTTTATTGAAATTAATTGAAAAGAATGACTATCAATAAGGATGTTTAATCACCTTAAATTGTTATAAAGTTTATTCCCATCTGGACAGCTCGAGTAGGTAGGTCCAGGATTTTTTTTTTTAGTTTAAATAGTTATATAAAGGAATGAGAAAACTTGGAAATGAAAAAAAATTGAAAATTAAAAAAGAATTTTTACTTTTGCCATTTTTAGCCAATAGATTTATCACTGATTAGTAAGCAAAGGTATTCGTGACTGGTTTTATTTTGCACATTTTGAAGTAAAATGCTTTGGTTTTGATTGTGGTCAGAAGCATTATCTAGGGTAACTACCGGTAGTTCTTTTTATTAGATTGACAGCCATGCAAAATACAGTTAGCTTATCTGAAATAAAGTGTATGAATTATTGACATTTGTCAACTATATTTCTGAGCAACTGGTTTTATTGGATCCAAGAGAAAATGTGCATTCTCAATGTTCTGAGCATGAAGGAAATTTGAAGAGCATTGTATCCAAATATCTCAGAAATTTGTTTAATGATATTTCTTTCATAATTTAGGTATCATTTATAAATACATTAGCTCTTGAACTAAATTAAGCTTTCTTATCTAAGTAATGCATAATATATATATAATATGCAAGCTACCCATGGCACCAAATAATCTGTAAACATATTTATCCTACTGGATATAGTGCTTCAACATTAAATGTTGTTCAATAAAATGCATCCTTTTTTCAGGAATTTTGGTGCTACATTGTGCACATAAAAGAAGGATTTTTTTTAAAACTCTGATATTGTCACCAGACAAAAACTTTCCTGACAAGCTTTCTCTAGATCAATTTTCCTTGTAACAGGAATTTACAGACAATCTGTCACAAGTGATATAATTTGATTTCCTCTTGCATTCATTAAGCTTAACTTGTGTTACATTTGACAGATGTACCCAATTCCTGTCATTTGCTTTATAGTATTTTTCATCTAGTCTGGGATTTAATAACTGTTATCCAGTATTTCTTAACTTTTTGCTTTGTCAGATCAATACTGGCTCAATGTCTCTCAGAAATAATGACATTTTTCAATTACTCTTTAAAATAATTTGCAAGATTGTGGAGCAAATTCCATTCTTAAGATGTATTAGGTAAAAATGTCCATCCATTTCCCAATGTCTCTTGGTCTATTCATCTACTTCAACTACCAGGTTTGCTTCGGATGCTGGATCTGATCTACATTTTCCAGTTGAGAGACCAGGCCTGAGGGCCATAAAACTTAGACAAGCTCACTTTTGATCTCAGTCTCATTTTTCTGCTGTTAGTTCCTTTGGAAAAAGTGAGACTGAGATCAAAAGTGAGCTTGTCTAAGTTTTATGGCCCCCAGGCCTTGTATGTTTTTGGAGCAGAACTATGGGATAAGCCCTATGTTGACCAAACTTGTATAGATGATACATCTAAGGATGTACACTACAAGGTTTGCTTCAGATGCTGGGTTTAATCACATTTTCCAGATGAGTGACTGTATTGTATTGATGAATTAGCACTTTTTTGTCATCCTCAAACCCACTTAAAATATCAAGGCTGCTTTTTTAAGTAAACATACAGCAAGTCTTTGACATATTGAAAATGAGACTGTAGCTATAATGTATGGTTACTGTCTATGCCTCCATGTGGTCATATAGTGCAGTTTGGTATTTTCTTTATTGTGGGCCCACAAAGTTAATATTGACAGTACTAATGCCTCCATATTGACATTACTGATGTATGTTCATTTCCCTGATGTAAACAATTTAGTGGATGCTATCCATTGTATAGAAAAGTCTCCTGATCTCAATCCATCAATCCTATTCAGAAGATGTCTATCAATGGTCCATCATTGGTTTAAATCACAGGCATGGTAAATAAATGAGTATGTGATACCAAAATACCTTGCCATTATAATGTTAACCTGGTTCATTGTGTAATATCTGCATACTGCATGCGAGGTTGCTGAAATTTGCTTCAATTTCAAAGTAGTGACTTCGGGGCTTAAGGTTAGTGATCCTCTGTAGCTGTTCTAAATTTCATGCAAAAGATTTTTTCTTTAAATGACAGATTAACATCAATAGCAATCTGTATATTACATATGCTGAAATGAATTTGAAATCATTTAGCAGTCCAAAATAAAAATGTTATTCAACATTGCCATCAGCAAACTGTTGTCTGCAAATCTAAAAGAGTTCCTGAGTTCACATTAGTAATGAACATGATCCCTAATTATTGAAATTTTGATGTAGTCTGCATAACACTGATGTCCCTGTATGGCAGCTTATGGCAAGGGTTGAATTTTCTCAAATGCATGTCAAACTACAAAGGTCAATTCAAGGTCAGAAGGTCAAGATTGGTACCCAACGTAAGGTTTTGTCACAAAGAAATAAGAAAGCCATAGTACAGACTGTTCAAAAGTTATGGCTAAGTTTTAAAGTTTTTAAAAAGTGGGTCAAACTCTAAGGTCAAGGTAAAAATATTTAAAAGGTCTATGAAAGGGAATATGAAGCCCTAGTTCTCTCTGTTCAAAAGTTATGGCCAAATGGTTAAAATGTTAAAAAAATTTTGTAAGAGTGGGTCAAACTCCAAGGTCAAGAGGTCAAAATTTGGTGGTATCCAAAGTAAGGTCTTATCACAAGGAAAACACCTGTGAAATATGACATTCATAGCCCCACCGTGACCCACTCAAAAGTTATGAGAAGGGTTAAAGTTTTTGAGGACAAACAGGGAGGTAGACAGATGGATGGACAGGGCAAAAACTATGACCCCGAATCTTCAGTTATGGAGGCCTAAAATAATCAAGTAAAAATAAGTTACTTAATACATATCTTGTTATAATGTATAGTTATCACTCTTTATCTGAGCTTTCAACAATACTTAGGCAGTCTTTTCCATTAGGTAGACACAGTTAAAATTTATTTACTCCTAAGTGTTGCATATGTAAACAACTGTATTTCTTTTATTATATAGGTGTGTCTGTGGGGGAGGGCTCTGATGGAATCCTGCTATGGGCAATGATATGTGCCTTTGTCACCTTCTTCGGTTTAGGTCTGGCCACGTGTAAATACTTCAGGTAAGATGATGTGTACCTTTGTCACCTTCTTTGGTTTAGGTTTGGCCACATGTAAATACTTCAGGTAAGATGATGTGTGCCTTTGTCACCTTCTTTGGTCTAGGTCTGGCCACATGTAAATACTTCAAGTAAGATGATGTGTGCCTTTGTCACCTTCTTTGGTTTAGGTCTGGCTACCTGTAAATACTTCAGGTAAGGTGATATGTGCCTTTGTCACCTTCTTTGGTTTAGGTCTGGCCACATGTAAATACTTTAGGTAAGATAATGTGTGCCTTTGTCACCTTCTTTGATCAAGTTCTGGCCAGGTGTTAATGCTTCAGGTAAGGTAATATTTGCCTTTGTCACCTTCTTTGGTCTAGGTCTGGCCACGTGTAAATACTTCAGGTAAGATGATGTGTGCCTTTGTCACCTTCTTTGGTCTAGGTCTGGCCACATGTAAATACTTCAGGTAAGGTGATCACTCAGTCTGTCGGTCCAACATCAGTTTCCATTCATTTTGTTTGCAGAGGTTGCACATATTGAAATGAAATTTGGTATACAGATTTATTATAAGAATATCTAGGTTAGTTTCTGTTTTGGGTACAATCGGGTCATTTTGGACAGTTATGTCCCTTGGAATCAGAAAAATTCCAATTATTTGGAGGAGGGAGTATAAATGTTTTACAAACATCTCTTGTTTGGTCTAGGTCTGGCCAGGTGTAAATGCTTCAGGTAAAGTATGCAGGCCCCTTGCCATTAATAATAATATTAAGTTTCTAACCTGGGCAATGTAATCTTTGAATAACTATGTGCATAAATTTTTTGCTGTGTATTAGTAATTTAAGGTTTATTTTGATATGATAAAAAAAGAAGAAAATAAATCAATTTGAAGTAAGTCAGTGAAGATAGTTAAGGCCTAATTTGTCATTCAACCACTGTTTTATGGGTGGCCCCTGAGTAATTAAACCAGATATTGTACCATATAAGCCAAAGAATAGAAGACCAACATCAGTTGTACCCTCACATCTAAAAATCAATTTATCATTAAAGATTAATTAATTATAGAATGAATATATTGATTATTATTAAATGTTATGGTTTACTTGACAAGATCAATGTCATTTATGAACATGATTGCTTTCAATTTAATGTACGAAGGTTAAAATTGAGATGGGATTTGTATTTTAATAAAATACATTAAATTCTCAATACTTGTATACTAGCATACCTTGATGAAATCTTAAATCTAAGAGAGCTTCATTGCTGACCCCTCTTGCACCATTCAACTTGACAAGTTCCTTTTGAGAATTTTCCTTCTAGGAGCTTTAAGCATGAGGAATACATATAAACCATTCTTGGGTTGCATACCTCTGGATCCAGGCTAATGCTAGGTTAGATTAAACCCTGGCATTTACCAAAATGCTGCAGTGCAATAAATTGTGCATCTTGTGGATGCAAACTGCTAGTTCAGGCTTTAGTGAATCTACTTCAAAAATTGGTTTGATTAAAGTATATGAAACAGTTCTATTTATCAAGTGTCTTAAGCATCCATGCCAAAACTATATAGAACTAATGAAAATCATGAAGTGTCATAAGTTATACAATTATGTTGCTTTGTTTGCAATACAAAGTTGGCCATATATCTGAACATTCAGACAATAAGAGATCCTGCCTCTATTATAGATTGCCTGCATTCATTTAGTTTTGTAGTTTATGAATAACTGTAAACAGGAATCCTTTTATGATTTCTGAACAATGCAAAAAAAAAAAAATTGAATCACCATTCTCAATATACATTATTTTATGTAGATTGATTGATTGATTTTGTAGAGACCAGTATGACACACCTGATTAATTGATGGATTGATTGATTGATTTTGTAGAGACCAGTATGACACACCTGAAAACAAGAAGAAAAGAAGAGACAAGCTGGACCTGCAAAAGAGAGGTAACTGCCAGAAGGCATTAGTGATGTCTTAGACCATTCATTGTTATTATCATGCCCCCCCCCCCCTTCGAAGAAGGTAGGGTATATTGCTTTGTTACTGTCTGTCGGTCCACCATCAGTTTCCATTCATTTTTTCATTTTCTTCACAGAGGTTGCACATATGTCAATGAAATGAAATTTGGTATAAAGATTTATCATAAGATCTAGATCAAGTTCAGTTTGGGATACAATTGGGTCGATCAGGCCATTTTGGACAGATTTATGCCCCTTGAACTTAGAAAAATTGCAATTATTTGCAGTTTCCCTTCATTTTCTCTGCAGAGATTGTACGTATTGAAAATGAAATTTGGTGTACAGATTTATGGTAAAAAAATCTAGATCAAATTTACATTTGGGTAAGATGGAGCCACTTCGGATAGAATTAAGCCCCTTGAACTGAGAAAAATTCCAATTATTTGGGGGAGGGGGGTATAAATGTTTTACAAACATCTCTTGTTTTATGATATTTTATTTTATTTCAAGAGCCATTAAGATAAAAGTCAACAAAGGAAATTAAAAAAAAAAAAATCATAATGCTAAAATTATGATAAATATTGATTTTCAATGTCACAAGTCAAAGTAGCTAGCAGAATTAATTTTCAGGGTACATTATTGAGAAATGAGGAAAGTTTTCTCTTTACCTGTACTTTGTATGCACTGTCATTGTAAATGACTACAATATGCTGCTAGAATTTCTTTTTCACTTGTTCAAATATTTGTACATGTGGGAGTTTGGAAGTCAAGTTGCTGTAACATAATCATTAAAGCCAACCAATGATTATTGGAAAAATCTCACTTTCCTAGATTAATGAATGATAACTCATCTAGATTTTTGCACATTATGATATTTGATCACAGGCCGGTAAATTAATTTTTAAGAAGATTAAAATGAACACCAAAGCTATCAATAGTTGCTGAAATTGTGATAGTTTTGAGAACACTCGACACTTCTCTTTGTGGAAAGCAGTCTCATGTTATCTATTATAATACATCATGGTAGCATTGCAGACAGCTATAGGAAACATTACCACAAAGTAGGCATTTTTAGAAATAATATGAGTTCTTTACATTTATAAGGAATTGAAGTGAAATATTCATTTAGAGAAATTTTCCTTTCAAGGGGATATTAAGTAACCGTACAAGGGTTGTCCTAAAATTGATGTATTTTTGTCCTAAAATTGATGTATAGTCAAGTGTAATTTTGTTAAAATCTGGTGTCATAAATTAATGAACCTATATATTAAATAGGTATAATTAAACCAATAATAACAAATAAATTCCTGACAAATATTGATGAAATTAATTAAAATAAATAAATTAGTCCTCAATTGGATATGAGAAGGCAGTGCAGATCCAGAAATTGCAATTAAAATACAAGATTTCAGAAAAAATATTTACTGTGTAACTCAGAATTTAAGGGATAGAAGTAAATGAATTCTTAATATTGTATAATAAACTACCTTTCATTTACTTTTGTGGTATATCCTTTAATTTCAGTATGAATTTTGTAAGGATTTATATGCACCAATTTGAAAATTGACTTCTTGAAAAATGGTGGTTACATTGACAAAGGCACTGCGGTAATGGACTATGATAAAATGATCTGAATTCAGAATTGACTCCTACAGAAATGGATGACATAAATGTTGGTGCACATGGATTTTTTTGTCCTTAGTATATTAAAATCACAGAGGCAGTTCTTCTACATATGTGTAAAGAAAAAAGAAATTTATCAAAAGGATTGAAATGACACATACTTTACACTGCTGCTTAGACAAAAACTTTATAAATAGGTTCAAAAATATTTTATTATTGAAAACAGGTACAGTGTACATACATTGCTTGTATAACTTAATGTTAAATCATAAAATACATGTATATATAAAATCTTTATGATGAATAAAAACTTCTTGTTACATATATACATAAGTGTATACCTCCCCTCCCTTCCTATTCTTGCAGTAAGATAGGGTAGCATTCAAAGAGAGATAATTCAAACTAAAACTCATGTTGAAATGAAGTAATAAAATATTCATTTCTTGAGTGCAGTGAGGTAAAATTTCTCAACAACGAGGAATGAACATTATTGATTTAAAACAAATAATCTGATTTACTGTTAAAAACTTCTTAGCAGTAAGAAAAAAGTTCAAAATTTGATACACACAGCTAGTGTATTATTTGAAAACCTTCATTGCAAATTAATTATTTTATCATATAAGACTTTAAAAGAAAATTAAAAAGAAAAATTAGATAAAATTCAAAAGGGTGTATGTACTATGTATGGTATACCAATACCAGATTCTTTATAAGTAGCTGCAGAACTGTAGCTCTCTGCTTGAGAAAATAAATTCGGATAGATAAAGCAGAGAGCTACACATCCAAGCATAGTAAAAATCTTCGATTTACGCCGACAATTTTTTGTCGCTACTCTAGGTATTTATTTCGTGTAGTTTAAACTTTCTCTGGCTTTTAGAATTGTATTCTATAATTAATTATATATTTAACTCTTATTTTTGATACTTTATTAAAGTATATTTACCTTTTAACGGTCCGAAACAGTCCTGTATATAGTTTTGTAATGTCGGTTTAAAAGAGTTCGTCGTCCGTAACCAGAAACAGCCATTTATTATTGTTGAAAGGTAAAAAAATTATCAGGAATTGAAGTTAAATATATGATTAATTATTAAATACCATTTTTAAAGCTGGGGAAAGTATAGAATACAAGAAAAAATACCCGAAGTGAGCGACAAAAAACCGTCGGCGTAAATCAAAGGTTTTTACAACGCTTGGATCTGTAGCTCTCTGCTTTATCTGCCCGAATTTTCTCAAGCAGAGAGCTACAGTTCTGCAGCTACGTTATAAGCATCCCTAATATGAGCAAAACTTTTTGTTAATACATGAGAAAGTAAATTCCTGGGGTACATAGTATTATATTGTGATCCTAGCTTCAATAAGATGCCCAGTATTATATTGTGATCCTATGTGTACTGTAGGTCATGCTTATTTTACAGTATCTGAAGATGCACAATGAAAAAAAAAAAAGCTTACAGCTGTTGAACATCTAACAGGCAATTTGTGTATGGTAAAAAAAAATTTTGAAATTTTTAATTTAAACCTTATTATGATTTGATTTGAAGTATAGGTCTGTAATGCATATGAAAGCAAACTTCACAAACTAACAGCATTGCTACTATGCATATGTGTTTTAGTGTGTCTGTTACAGCTTGTGGGCAAGATTTAAAGAAAAACTGGGGACTAGCTATCAATCCTTAGCTTTCACTTACTTATGTGGCATTGTAAAAGGTTGAACCCTGTTTATTTTCAAATTAATTGGTGGAATATTTCTTAAAATATCACATCTTTACTACCTTCAAACCCTGAAATTTTATGTACAGATTGACAATACTCACTTCCACATGAACAACCTGGTAAATTCGATCACTTTGATAGACTCGCTTCAGTAAGTTCTACTTTGAACATGTATTTGCGTATATTGTCATATTATTTGAGCGTATCTTGAGACAGTCTGCATGAATTAAAAATGTCATCTCTGATGCTAAATAATTGAACTAATTTGATGAACGTCCCGGTTTCATTACCAAATTACCACAGGTGTCTGTTTACAATATGGAATTTAATCTTGAGACGTGCATAATTCCTAAAAGCAAGAAAGATCTCACTATATTTTCCAAGCCTATCCACCAACCATAAAGGAATTGCCTCATTTAGAAAGGCTTGGATTGCTTTATATGATCACCTATAATGATTTTGTTGAGTGTCATTTTATTTTTTTTATGTTACTGTTTTTATTATTCATTAATAGGTGCAGTAATTAATGAATTCATTACGACCCCATTAACACAGATTTGAATGAGATGATGGACAGGGTACTGAACCTCACACCTGATCGAGGTGTACAGTCTACATGTGACCCCAGTTCACCGGGCCATTATAACCCAATCAGTCCAGTCGTGCCTGTTAGATATCAAATTAAATGTGATAATTGTGCAATTTTGTATTGATCTGCATCATGTGAACTTTTTCACTTTGGCCCCTGGCTGCGATTTTCTTCTCATTTACTCGCATTGTTTTTATCAGGATGGAGTCTGTTTTTGATCAGGCCTTGCATTAGAGTCTTGCCCAGAATACTTTCTCTGTTCACTGACAAGAGGCAGGGCAATATTTTCTGCTTCCCTACTGAACATTATTATACTATATTTTGGTCTATCTACACCTGTCTGAATTATTGTCAGTCCTCAGTAATTATTTTCTGCCCATAACTTTAAACCCAGACATAACTTATAAAATTATGAAGTGTTCAAGACAGAAACTTAAAATATTCAACAAGTTAAACTTAGGTATCGGTTCAAGGTGAGAATATGAAAGTTAAAATCAAAGTAATCTCACTACATTTAGAAAGTTGTGAAAAGTGGTCACTTGAAGCAAAAATTGCAGATACTCTCTCTGGTGTAATTGGACTGTATTTGTAGATGCTCTCTCTGGTGTGATTGGACTGTATTTGTTTTAACTCTCTCTGGTGTGATTGGACTGTATTTGTAGACTCTCTCTGGTGTGATTGGACTGTATTTGTAGATACTCTCTCTGGTGTGATTGGAATGTATTTGTAGTACTCTCTCTGGTGTGATTGGACTGTATTTGTAGATACTCTCTCTGGTGTGATTGGACTGTATTTGTAGATACTATGGTGTGATTGGACTGTATTTGTAGAGACTCTCTCTGGTGTGATTGGACTGTATTTGTAGATACTCTCTCTGATGTGATTGAACTGTATTTGTAGATACTCTCTCTCTGGTGTGATTGGACTGTATTTGTAGATACTCTCTCTGGTGTGATTGAACTGTATTTGTAGATACTCCCTCTCTGGTGTGATTGGACTGTATTTGTAGATACTCTCTCTGGTGTGATTGGACTGTATTTGTAGGCACTCTCTCTGATGTGAC